GTTTTGTTGTGCAAAAACTTTTTATTTTGATGTAGTCCCAATTTTTTATTTTCTCTTTAGCTTCCATTGGCCTAGAGGCAATATTGAGAATAGACTTCATTTTAGATGTACAATAGAAGTGCTTATTTAGAAGACTTTGAGATAAATTATATATCTAACTAGAAGCCCGGTGCACGAAGATTCGTGCAAGAATGGGCCTTCCTTCCCCTAGCTGCCAGCACTGCCTTTGCTCCAGCCCAGAGCCACCTTTCCGCCTTCCCACACTGCCCAGAGGCCCAGAGTGGCCAGGGCAGTATGAAACACTTGTGTCATCATCATAGTGATGACACAAACATCCTACCCCTCACCCAGCCATTCAACACCTACATATGCAAATTAACCCACCATTTTTTGTTGGGTTAATTTACATACTCACTCTTGATTGTCTGGTGGGCGCTGCAAAGGTACAATCAATTTGCATCTTATTCTTTTATTAGTGTAGATTATCTGGATTCCCAACACATATTTTCTTCTTCCATGCTGTTATCTGTAAAAATATTAGGATATTCTCTGATATCATTTTTAGTTCTAATATTCCATGATTCTACAACTTTTTAAAACCCCAAGTTCAATAAACCAAAGAGACATTATTCCTAGGCTTGGGAATGTAACTATGATAGTACAATGGTCCTTTTGAGCACAGAACTGTAAATCTTTCTAAAAAAATAATATAAAAGGTTAGAGGTTCCTTAACATTTAGGAGGATTACATTCTATTGTATTTTCAATGAAAACTCATAATTCTATTTGTCAGACTCTTTCAGTTAGTTTGAATTGGCAAATAACTAATTCATCCTGGTTTACACACACACACACACACACACACACACACACACATACAAAAAAGTGAGGCTGTGATGGAAACTCAGTGGTTACATGACAAAAAAGTTCAAGAGATAATCTTCAAGAGCCAACTAATTCAGGATCTCCAATGAAGTCATCAGGACATTGCCTCTGTTTTGCAAGAAGAGGCTGTGTTGTCCTTTGTTTACTTTATTCTCAGCAGGCTTTCTCTACAGAGTGGCAAATGCAGTCACTGGCAGAGGCAGCCTTATATACCAGAATGACAACTTGAGCTGAAAGGATTCCATAGAAATTTGTGGAACTTGACTAGAATAATGTACCCAATCCTGAGCAATCACTTGGTTGATTGGTTGGGCCTGGGTCACATGACTAGGGGTGGGGTCAACCCCATTCTGAACCACTGGGACTGAGCAAGCAGGAAGGAAATTGGGGTGCTGTTACAAAAAAAAAAAAAAAGAGAGAAAGAAAAAAAATGTCAAGTAGGTAAAAGCTACCTCTTTGCTCAATAAAAATACACATTTTTTTTATTTGTTTCCTAGGGCTGCCATAACAAATTTCTTGGTAGCTAAAAACAACTGAAATTTATTCTCTCCTAGTTCTGGAGGCCAAAAGACTGAAATCAAGGTGCAGGGCTGCACTCCTCCGAAGGCTCTCTAGGAGCAGTCTTTCTTTCCTCTTCCAGCTCTTCTGGCCCCTGGCAATCACTGGCTTGTGGCAACATGACTCAAATATCTGCTTCCCTCCATCTTCACATGGCCTCTACCCTGTCTCTCCATGTGTCCTCTCCTCTTCTAATAATGTTACCAGTTATTGCATGTTGAAATATATGTTCCTCAGTCACCTTCATTCAGACTCTTCCATTGTCCACAAGCTCCTTCTGAGGGAAGAGGCCGTGTTCAATCCATCTCTGTTTGCCTCCAGAACTTGCTGGATGCTTTGTACTCAAGCATCATTCAATACATGTTACATTTATTAAATATGTAATATTATTACCTGGAATTTATTTGTTAACTCTACATAAGATGTATTGAGATTGCTTGAGATAAAAATAAATGTTTGATTCTTTAGAAAATAATCTATTTTTAGGAAGTAAATATAATTTAACTCAGTTGCCCTGTATAAATAGGAAATCTGATTATTCTTTGATCTTACTTTTCCTTTTTAAAATTTAATTCACAAAGAGATGACCAATTACAGACGACCCCACAGCTTAATAACATATCTGTTAATGTTCTAGGGAAAAAAACTCAGTGAATTAAATTAAGTATTAACTGGGTTTGAATTGATTTGAGCAACTGAAACAAATACCTATCCTACCCTGATGTGATCTAGTTATACCTATTTTTATTGCTAAGACTGACTTTGAGTTTGGAAATAACGAGATACCCTGTCCTTGCATATTTAGACTCCATTTTCCTTGAGTCATGTAGTGGTTCTGGATGCTTTGTGAAGTGTAAATAGTAATAAACACAATCGCCAAAGTATTAGGTAGGGTTGGTTCCTCTAATTCATTCACTTATTCATTCCTTCTTCTGCTCATCCACTGGAAAGCATCCACGGAGCACCCACTGTATCAGACATTGTTATATGTCTGAGGGAGTTAGAGACAAACTAGAACAGTGTCCTGTCCTCAGGAGCTTCCAGAGGATAAGGAGCGGCAGGCATATAGACAAATGGGGTAGCGCAGTGTCATGGGTGGTGAGCTAATGACTGATCCTTCTGCCCCTTCCTTCCTCAATGCAACGACTCCACACCCCGCCACCTGCCAGAGTCAGTCAGTGGGAAACCGCAGGGTGATGGGCAGCAGTGAGTGGAATAACTGTGAGTGTAACTTAGTGTTCTTGAGTCCTCATTTGTCCCAGGTGCTTTTCTGAGAACTTGACTCATTTAATTCTCACCAAAAAACTTTTTGAGTAGGGGGTATTATTATCCCCATTTCACAAACAGGGAAATAGAGGCCCAACCTTGAATATCCTAAGTGTGAAAAACAGCTTCCGTGGGGAGGCGCAAATGTGGGCTCCCGACTGGTACCTGACTTGTTCATTTTGTGCACATGGCACCTAACACCATGCAGTAGGCAATTAGTAATCCCCACTGGATGATGTTGTCCAACCAGATCTCCTCTAAATGGTGGGCTTTTAGGGAGAGGAGATCTGCCCTCCATAGCAGGAGTGGCAAAGATTTCAAACAGCACAGCAAATGAACCAAATATAATGCCAATAAACTCATCTCAAGGTCACCATGTACTAGGCATGGTACTAAGTGCTTTCTTTACATGTATTCATTTATTCTTTACAATAACCCAGGGAGGTAAGTACCATACTCTCTACTCTGTAGGTGAGGTATAGAGTGGTGAGGTGACTTGCCCAAGGCCACACAGCTAGAAGGTGCAGAGGTAGAGAGGCACCCTAGGCTGTCTGACCTTTAACCCACACACTGTCTGGTGGGACCCCAGAATACAAGTTCTGATCACACAAGGTAACCCCAGCAGAGAGGCAAGGAGCTGACCCCATAAATGATTGACCTTGGCATTTGGACGGGGAGGACAAGACCCTACACAGTGATGCAGCTTGGGGACCCATACAACCCATGGGGCTGAACTGGGCTGCGGCTGAGGGGTCGGGGAGAGGGGCTGCTGCAGGAGGAGCAGAAAATCAGGGGCCCCCACAGTGGACAGGAAGCACAGCATCACTTTAGCCAGACCTTTCCACTGAGAACTGCAAATATTGCCCTCATCAAACCCCACTGTTACTCGCTTTTGAAGCATAAATCTGTAAAGTACAGAAAATAGGATTTCTGGGTAGGATAGCGGGGGTGGGGGGGGGGGGGGGAGGTGGTGGTCAGGGAACCGAAGGTCATGCTTTTCATTTCTTAGTTTCCAGCTCCACTGAACCCAGAGGGTGCCCTGTGGCCTCCTGCAGTCAAGGCCAGGCCTCCAAAGCAGCCCATCTCCTGTCATTGACGGCCGGGTGGACTGGAAGGAACTGGCTTAATAAATGTTTTTACTTTGGCATTTGGAGGAGGGCAAACCCGGCCAGGCCTCAGAGCCCTCCGCAGTGCAGTGGGCCCTGCTGACATGTCCCTGCCCTTTCCAAGGTGTTCTCATGACAGCTGCTACTGGGGGCCTCAGGCTGGAGCAACTGCTGTGCAAGGTGGTGACCTTCTGAATCCGGAGCAATTAATGAACCTGGCCGGCCTTGGACCCCGGAGGCCGCACAAAATTGGTGGCTTCTGCCAAATTCCTCTTGTTACTTTTGATTCCCTTCCTCCTCCTCCTCCTTCCCATTATGCCTGACATTTCTATGGCCAGGTTTTGTTACAAGCAATTAGCCTGTGTCAGGGATCTGGGGAGATGAGCTGCGTGCCCAGACACAGGCCGAAGTAGGAAGTGCCTCAGTGAGAAAGGCTGCCTGCAGGCTGGCTGTCCTGGGTCCCTGGTGGTGGTGCACAGGCCTCTGGCTGTGGGACATGAAGCTCCTCGGTGAGCGAGGCTATGGACATGGCCCTGTGCAGCCCAAAGGGAGTCTGCACACCGTTCCCAAGCCTCTGCCTGCTTCTGATCTAGTAATTCACCCTCCCCACACGAGCTTCCCTGGATGTGCTCAGAGGCCAGAGTTCATGATCTTTTTCAATCTTTGAAAAAGGAAGTCATGTATTTATTTACAATAAGCTATATGGACTAACCAAATCTCTCTCTCTCTCTCTCTCTCTCTCTCTCTCTCTCTCTCTCTCTCTCTCTCTCTCTCTCTCTGGGTGTGTGTGTGTGTGTGTGTGTGTGTGTGTGTTTTGCCTGGAATTATTTATCCACTCAGTGTGGTTGTCTAGACGCCCAGTTATCAATTTTGTGTGCTGACTAAGAAAAACTAGAAACAAAATACTCTTGAATCAATGCATTTTGTGGGGTAGACAGCATCTGTGGGAGCTACGGGGAGGAGAGACAGGTGCCAAGGCACTGGCTAGTCAGCCCTGACTTCCCACCGCAGCCTCAGTGCCTTCTGGCCCTACCATAGGCCTCGTCCGCAGGTGTCCCAGAAGGTGACCCGCCATTCAAGCCCAGACAGTGAGTTTAAAACCCAACCATTGAAATCTCGGGTTTAAAACTCAACTTTTCAAACTCAACCATTTGTTTCAACATTCTCATTTCTTCTGTTTTGGAACAGTGAGACAATTTAAGAGGTCAGCGTGTGCTCCTGAGAGTCTGGGGCTCACTAACTGTCCAGGCCACGTCCAGGAAGACTTCAGTGGTGGCTCCTGAGATGGTTTTCATCATTGGTGTGGTGATGGGTGGATGTCTCAGGAAGATGAGGAAACTGAGGCCCAGGGCAACAGGTGAGCTGCCTAAGGTGGCACAGGGTTGGGTGATGCCATGACCAGAGCTCAGGTCTCAACCCCTTCCAGGGCTCCTTCCACTTGGAGAATGGCAGTGGCTCCTGTCATTTGTATTCAGTCCATGTTCCAGCCACAACCCATGAAGACAATGCCAAGAGACTCAGCAATTACAGCAAGACCTGACACCCAGAAACAGTCAGCATTAGTCCCAAAGCAGTAGCACTCTTGTGAACTCACTTTGCCCTGCTGCTAACTTCACAGACCATAGGAAGCTGCCTGGCTACCAGGCAGGGGAGTGGGGGCAGGATGGGGTCGGAGGAACAAAGAAGAAGAGGGGACAAGCGAGAGAAACTCTTGGTGGGAGCTGGAGGTGGGCAGATATAAGCAGCAACTGGACCTCATAGTGTTAGGATGTTTTTCTTCCAGAGCTGGATGGGGTCAAGGCATGGGCGTCAACTCTCCTGTCTTGCCTTGGGAAGACTGTGAATGTGGCCTGAGAGTTGGGTTAACTGACCCCACACCTAGACTCTTCCAGGTAGCCTGGCCACCATGACCAACAGCACGGCTGACACCTCAGAGAGCTTCCTTTCCACCTGCGTCTATCATTGCTACCAATAACACTGCTTTCCTCTTCGGGGTCTCTTCTAGCCTACACACTGCTCCCCACGTGGATTCAGTCTCCCGGGAGTTGTGGGCACAGCCTTCTTTAGGAACATTGCCCAAGGCTGGCGTCCCCACCTGCCAGCAGCACCTTCCCTGCAGGACAAAGAAGAGGAAAGGCTAGCACCAGGGGTTTAGATCTGCTGCAGACTAGTAATTATCTGTGAATTGGGGGGGGGGGGACGAATTGGGGTGGTGGCACCCAAGAAATGATAGCTGATGTTCCAAAAACTGAGCAGATGGAGAAATAAAGCAGGAGAGCTCTCTTCCTCCTCCACCCCGCCTGCCAGACAAAACAAAACAGAAATAGGCATCTACCAATGTCACCCTTGGCGCTTAATAGCAGTCAGAAAATAGCCGTTTTCAGGAAGTGGGGATAGAATGGATTAGGAAGGGAAGCTGTTCTGTCCTCCCAGACAGTGTCAGCCACACGGTGGTTCTCAGAGTGCAGCTCCCAGACCCGCAGCCCAGCAGCCCTGGAACCTAGTGAGCAATGCAGGTGCTCAGCCAGAGCCCAGGCCCCTCCTTGCCAGACACTCTGGGGGCGGCCTGGCCCTCCTGGTGATGCGATGTTCACTCAAGTCTGAGAAGCCCTCAGCTCTATCAGCTCTAGCTCCACCTGCTTCCTGAAGAGGAGGGGGGGGGGGGAGGGGGCGTGGCGGCATTCAAATGAGAGTGACTTCTCTTATCTGTTCTCAGCTTTCTTTCAAAATCCTACTCCAGCCTGTCTTCCTCCAAAGTCCCTAGGGCCATCAACCCTGGGAAAGGCCTCCTCTGAAGCCACATGTGCTAACATCTGTGCCTTCCTTCTATAATCCTGCCTGTCTGTTTTAGGGGCTGTTCCCCAAGCAGGCTTGGAGTGCCTGGGGCTGGGGGCAGCAACCTTGCCCTGGAATTCCCTCTGTGGACCCTGGGTGATCTCAGATGGTGAGCCCAGTGACTTGTCCTCCGAAGGAGATCCCAGCGGCTGCGCTAACTCAGGGGATAGCCTGGGGGCAGGAAGACCTCACAGTCGTCTCCCTCTCCCCCCCAGGATTGCCCTGCTGGGCACAGCCAGGGAGCAGGCCTCCCCTTCAGCCCGCCACGCTATCCCCCACGTGGATTAGAGGCTGAACACAAACAGAATACAAAAGACAAAAGACAGGGAGCTTTCCTGGCTGTCAGAGTCTATAAAAGTCTGGGGAGTGACAGCAGGAGCCCTTGCCTGCTGCTGCTGCCCTGAAACCCAGAAAGAATCAATTTCAGACCCAGGGCCAAATAGTGCCCCAGGGGGCGTGCCTGTGACAGGCTCTGGCTCCGCCCAGGCCGGCCCACCCAGCCGATCTGGGAGTGGAGGAGAGAGGAAGCCGGTTTCGCGGGAAGGAGGGGGGCAGCCTTCAGCGTACAAAGGAAATGAACATTTTCTGTTTATCTCTCCCCCTCCTCCTGCCTCGCTGGCTGCGATAGCCCTAGCCCTTTTCTAAAACCCTCTCCACTTCTCAACAGGGCCACATGAAGATAAATTATTTTCTTTCTTGCTTCATGAAAGCTAGAATGTGACCCCAGGACACATTGCGCCACCTTGCCCTTGAGATTCCAAGTCCCCTAAAAATATACGTTTTCAATAAACGCTTGTAGTTCATTGATAAAAACCGTTAGGGCTCTAGAATTTGCATTCGTGTGTCCTTCTGGATTGCAAGGAAGGGGCTGTTTATCAGGGACCAGCCGGTGGGGTATGCTGTGCGGCCCTCGCATGATGATTTAGCTCAAGACACAATGGCAGTTTTATTCATTTCTTTGCCTATTTATTTTCAGACTATTGCTCATCATTTAAATTAACATTTTCCATGTGATGGAAACAGGAAGCTTGTAGGCTAGGGTTCCCAGATTTAGCAAATAAAAGCACAGGGCACCAAAAAAAACAAAACAACAAAACAAAACAAAAAAAACAGGGCACCAGTAAATCTGAATTTTCAAGTAAACAACAAATAATTGTTTAATGTAATTATGCCTCAACTATTGCATGGAATGTATACTGAGAGTATTTGTTGTTTGTCTGATATTCAGTTATGGAGGATCCTTATTTCACCTGCTGACACCAAGGACCATGCCAGTAGAGAGGGACAAAAGGACACTGGTATAGGGAAAAAGTAGGAAAACTTTAAAAATATGTCACACTTCATTATGTTATTTTAAAAAGAAGAACAAAACTGAACACTGCTTCCCAACACACGTCTTAAAAGCAGAAATCCGGTTCCTTTTATGTGCGTGCAGAGGTAGGTGCCAAGCGGGGGTCTCAGATGGAGTGGTTTTAAGTCTCAGAAAGAGCTTAGCTGTTTTTGTAAAAAGGAAAGTTGGCAAGTGATTAGTGCCGATGTGGCCCAGCTGCTCTTTTGTGCTCTGAAAGAAACAATTAAAATGGCCGGGACATTAAACTTTAAAGAGCTGGGCTGTTCGGACTGAGAAGCTAATTTTAAAAAGAGCCTGATACCTGGGAGAAGGGGACGTTTTTCGGGACTATGTGATTTCTGTCCAGCCGCTGCCACCGCGACTCTGCATTCTGAAAAACCTTTGTACATAGGTAAATAGATAAGTAGTTGGGTGAGAAAGCTCTGTCTTGCTTGGATGTGAAAATACTCAATGCAAAATAAATATTTCTTCACATTTTTTACTCTAAAAGGCACAATCGGAGAAACTGAATACATTTGGAAAAGACAGACCCAGAACTAGTGTTTTTTTTGTTTTTTTGTTTTTTGTTTTTTGTTTTTTTTAATAAATTATTGAGGCATTGTGATGTGACAGGTACTGGGGTTAAGAAAAAAAAAAATGAACAAAGCAAATCTCTATCCTAAAGGAAGCTCGACTTAATTGGGAAGGACAGACCTCTAAGCAAAGGCAGCACCTTGGGAGGCGGCACTCAGTGTGGGCTCTGAGCTTAGACAAGGGCTCAGACCCACACCTGCCACGTGGGGGTCTCTGAGCATTAGTTTCTGCGTTTGTACAATAGGAATAAAGGTGGGATTACTTCATGAGACTGTGAGGACGAGCTCCAAATGTGAAGTAAACTACTTGGTACTGTGCCTGCCATGTCCCACATGCTTCATACATTGTAGCTCTTCTTATAAGTGTTGATATACCTTTTGGGACCTATGGGAGCACAGGGCAAGCAGACTGTCACTCTGTCAGGTTGCAGAGATGGGGGAGGTTGCAGAGCCTGGGTCTTAAAGGAGAGTAGGACTTTCTCAAGTAATTGAGGGCATTCTCTTCCTTGGGATGGAGAAAGCGTGGTGTGTGCAGGACTGTGATAGTCACGTGCCTTACCTGTCACATGGCAATGACAGTCTTTGGGGCAGCAGAAGCACCAGGCGCTCAATTATCATGGTGCCACAAACTATGACAAGTATTCCAGAGGTCTCAGAAAACTCAGGTGGAGTTTAAAGAGGGCAGAGATATAATCTGTATTTCTTAAAAGCTCTTAGTAGTGGGGTGAAAAATGAATGGGAAGTAGGCAAGAGTGAAGGAAGGGATAGGAGTGACTAATGAGATGGTGAGGACTGAATTATGTAGGTGGCCTGTCAGGTGAAAAAGATAATAGTGATGCAAAAGATACTCCTGAGATAGGCTCATCACAGGCTTGGGGACCACGTGGGAGTGAAGGGTGAGGGGAAAGGAGAGGCTCAGGATGATTCTCAAGTTTTTGGGTTGGGTAGCATGGATGAAGGTGCCATTTACCAAGTGGATAACAGGTTTGGGGAGATAGAAAGCTGTGGGTTATGCATTCCATTTTTATATATTGAGTTTGAGGTGCATATAGGACATTCAGGTAGAAACCTCTGCCCAGGAAGTCCAAAGAAATAGGGACCTGGAGCCTTGGGAGACATCTGTCTCTGAAGTTAGGGAATATAAGTGATAATTGCAATGGTGAACTTAGATGAGATGGAGGACCACCTGGGGAACCCAGAAAGGGGACTGAGACAAACAGCCAGAGGGGTGGGAGGAAACCACAGAGCCTGGGTCGTAGCCTGCAGAAGACCAAGTTTCAATAAGGTGTTCCAAAAGGCATCCTTTAGGTGCCACTCTGTGTTCCAAAAGGTGCCCTTTGGGCCTGGTGGTGGTTGATGGTCCTGGGGTGCAGGCATCACTCACCTGGAGGGTTGCTTTAGCAAGAGAGCTATGTTGCCTCTAAGCTGCAGAAGGGTTGCCTGATAGAGAAGTGCAGGTGCCCAGATAGAAAACATAGCATTTCCAAGGAAAAGCAGATGCACGGTTTCATTACAATATTCTGTCTCCCCTGAGTAAAGTG